GTAAACTAATCCGAGACCGCGAAACGAAGTGCTCAAAAATTAATAGCCTGCCTGTGAACATAACCTCAAAGAGCCTAGAACCAGAAACTCATAATTATAAGTGGGCGGGCCGCTGCCCTCCCTCTTCCTGTCTCACTCTCTTTCTCTCTCTTAGTCATAACTCATAAACATAAATTTAAATTAGAAAACAAATGAAAACCGCGCCGTGTCGTTAATTTTCTCAGCCATCCCTAACCCATTTTCACTGTCTGCCACCCCGCCACCGCCTCCTGAATTTTCCATCCGACCTTTCTAATTTATCCCCCCCTTTCTTTTGCCCAACCACCATGCACTCTTTTAATTCCATTCACCTCAGGAAAATCCGGCAAATCGTACAATATTGAAATGAATCGAGCGAAAGTCGGCAAATCGGGTCACCGGGTCAAGGTATGCAAGCGGAAGATCTTTTCCTACTTTTTTTTTTCTGAAATGAAGTAGTGGGTTAAAAGCTTTTCTGAAACGTGTAATAATCTTCAGCTTAACTCTTTGTTTTTTGTTTTTTTTAAATATTTTTTAGCAGATGCTTTTCTGGGGTTTTTCTTTGGATTTTTGCAAGTTTCTAGTTTAAAAAATCGAATTTTATTTTATTAAAAAATGCCAAATATTTGGTCCACCTTTTGATTTTTTTGTAATACAACTTATTAAGTATTTCCCCTCTATCTTCATATATAGCCCACCCCCATACTTCAGCATTTCCATCTAGGATATCGGGGATATATGAAAACCGCAAACGGAGATAAGCGGATGATGAAAGTTTCGACAGAGCGAAATGGCGAAATACAACATAAACAACAAAATGCGACCACAATCGATGGATGAGGATGGGTTCTGGAACTCGAGAGAGGAGGGATGGGTCTTGGGATGGGATAGAACTGGTCCTAAAATAGGGGGCTGGAGTGGCCTTGCCTTTGATGTGGCCAAAAAGCAGGACGAACAACTTTTTATTCCATTCCACTTGACTCGACTCCACTTTGCTACGCTTTTTGTTGGCGGATCTTGATTATAAGCCACATTAATGCACAGACATGCTTTCGAGAAGTGGAAAAACAACGGGTCGGAGGGTCGTAGGAAAATGGGGAAAATCCGAAAGAGAGAGGGTTGGCACTAAAAACCCTCCCCACAGTGGGGGGGTGGGGGAAAACTAGGTACAGCTCTTTGGCGGTCAGCACTTTTAATTAAAACAAAACAAAACAGGGCAAAAATATAGTAGAAGAGGGAATAATGGCGGACAGAAAATAGTTAAATAATGCATGAAGTGCGTGCGAGAAGGAGGGCAATATCCCCAAGAAGAAAGACAGAGAAAGCGCGACAGTTGGAGCCAAATGAAGAAGTTCCAAGTTCGCAGTTCGCAGTTCGCAGCCGGCAATAAAATGTAGACGCAAAATGTGCGGAAAATGTGATGGTCAACAAATTATCAACAACAATAACCCCGAAAAGAAAAGCAGGAAGTCAAAAAAAAAAAAACAAAAATTAAAGAAAATAAAAAAGGGGAGCAGCGAAAAGAGAAACAGAAGCGGAAGCGGAACGAAAAAAACTGGACGGGTCGCAAAACAAGTGGCTGAAAAAGGCGCTACGAATGAACAGCTGTGAACTATGACCCCGGCTTTTTGTTCCCACTTTTTTTCCCAGACATTTAGCAAAGCCAAAAATAAAGAAATGAATTATATATAAATGCACTGAGAAAATAGGGAAGCTTCACAGAAATAGCTCTTAATTTAAATGACTTTCTAATGGTAGACTTTCTAGGCCACTGAAAAGTATGCTATGGTTTTTCCAAAATACGGACCTAATCAAAATTAACTAGAAAATAAGCAAATCTTACTTTTCTTTTAGGGTAAAATCAATTTTTTGGATTCAACACAAACAAAAGGCAATTCCCTAATACTTTTTCTCAGTGGATATATGTTGATATAAATAAAAGTGGCCCACAAAACGGACGTGTAACAGAGGCCACCAACTTTTTGCCCGTTATTTAAGGCGCTTGCCTTGGCAGCTGAAGTTTCTTTCCCTTTTTCGCCCATCGCTGGGATTCTAAATTGGTATTATACGGCTTAAGTGGGCGTTGAAGAGGTTGGTCGGCAAGGGGATAGGGTCAAGGGTAACTAACAAAGAGACACCTGATGATAGTTCTTAATAGAGCTTAAGGGAAATGAGTTCGGTTAGCCAAGGCTTTTGGCTAATTTTCAAGGCAAGAATTAGTCGTTGGAAAAGGACTAATTTGATTTCTTTTTTTGGTTTAAAATTGTTTTGTTTTAGAAGTATGTAATATTTTGCCATTAGTTAAGGACGTAGAAAAAGTGACAACAAAATCGTTATTAAAACATTTTCTCTGGCAAAATAAAAAGCGAAAACTTGTTAAAAACTTCTTCGAAAAGCCGCAATGTCCTGCCAGTTCCATCCATTTCAGACACTCCGATTGATGGACCATTACTACGCTTCAATATTTCCATGGAATGCCAGTGTATGAGGCCAGTATGAATTCAAAAGGGTAACCAAGCAGCAGGCTCTGGTAAAAGGGAGTAGAAATTAAGTTGTTACTTTTGTGAGCTCCACTTTCTGTGTTTTCCGTGTGCCTTTCTTTTTCTTTTTTCCTCTACTCCATCATATTGTCCCAGCAACGACGAATGGCAGACATTGAAGTGTTTGTGCACTGAGAGAAATTGTTAAAATATTTATATCAAGACTTTTATATTTCTAAATAATTAGCTTAGACTTTTAGCTCTACAATATGATGGGAATAATGGCTAAAATAATTTCTAAAATTTATATTTTTAATATAAAACATAAAGTAACTTAGAAAAAGGCAGTTCTTAACATAAATATTAGACCTAATTTAGCTTATTAAATATTTAAAAACTTGATTAATTTCTTGATAAATAATAATATTTACTTGCTAATTTCTTAAAATTTCCCCAAAAACTTTGTTTGCCGTGCGGAAATAGAGTTTTCCCGGGCCAAGTCCGTTTTTGGCCTGGCCTTTTTCGTCTCCTTTGCCTTCCGTTGACTGTTTTTTTTTGTCTTCCTTGCCCTGGCGTAAAACCTTTTGGCCTTTCATTTTGGTCAGCTTGCACTTGGCCAGCCAGTCGCTGGGAATGTTTATTGTTGCTGTTGCCGTTGTTCCTCCGCCTTCGACCACACCCCCTTTTTCTTACTTTTGGCCAGCCTTTTTTGTTTTTTGTTTGTGGCTAAATACAAAAGGCAGCTGGTTTTTATGCCTACACCCGCCTTTGCTTTTTTTTTTTTTGGCCACTTCGAAGTAGCAAATGTCTGGCTTTCCAGGGGTTTGAAGGGAGGTGGGTGGCTCTTTGTTGTTGTTGTGTGCCGGCTACGTCGGTTGTTAGTTGCATGAATATGAAGTGGTCTTATAATCCACACCAAACAACAAAATGACCCAAGTGCGAAATTAAAAGGCGAAAATGTGCCAGAGGCGGGGTAAAATGGGGTTGGAAAAAAGGAAACGGGCTGAAACGTGATGACTGCAAAATGAAGACGTTGGGAACCGGAAATGCCTCGAAATGTATGCGACACAAAAACAGAAACTCCTCCCCCACCCTCGTTCTAAAAGAACAATATAGTTGATGTTCCGGCAATAAGATAGCTGCTACTCAGGTTGATTTATTGTCTGTGGATTTCCAGCAATTAATAGAGAAATAGAGGAGGGGAAACTCCAATCTTTATGCGTAACCAATTTGAAAGAGTTTTTTCTTTTGTTTTTTTGTTAATTATAATTAAGAAATCTTGGAACTGGGATACTTTTTACAGATTTTACTGGTAGTTCGAATATTTTAAAAGACTTCCTAAGAAAAGACACTGTGTTTTTCCCTTATTTTTCAACATGAGAAGTTCTTAATAATTACATTTTATATTTTTGAAGAAATAAGCTTTTTTTGTGTTATTTTTTAAATATTTTTATAAACAAGTTCTAGCTTAAAAGAATATAATCCTATATTCCTCAACTTTTCCATAATTTTAAATCCAAAAAATCTTTAAAAAAAATATTTCTTTATTTTTATAACAAACATAAACCAAAATCCTTATAAATTGATTTGTTTTCTCGTTTGCCTTTCAGTATTTCTGAGCAAAACAAATAAATATTTTAGCCTCTTCTTGAGCTATTATTGGATCAAATGAAAACAAATACTTCACGTTGAGCTTGTGGAAAATCCTTAAGACTTTTTATTGTGTTTTACCTACATTAGCAGTGCCAGTGATTTGTTGCCACAGGTAATTGAGATTTATTCGAATGCCTCGAGCAGGGGGTGGCTTACAAAATCAGAACGAGAAGGGTTAAGAGTTTTGTGTGTTTTGAACTCAAAATTCAGCTGATATTTCAGTTAAAAGACCGCTGTCCGAAAACAAAAAATAGAAGCCGGCACATCTCACATCCTGTTAACCGAATTCTATTAGCCGTGATTTCTCAATTTCACTCTCGGATTCTGCGCTTTGGTAAGGAAAGAGATTTCAGCAAGATGCTGTCCTTTCGTGTTTTCAATAATTATGGTTAGGTTCGAAACCTAGCTAAGTGTTATGGAAATCAAATGGAAATTTAAAGAGAACATTTTCCTTTGCTCTTCGGCTCTGTTAATTCTAGAATCATGCGCTGTTCTAGCCCTTTACACTCTTCAAGAATTTCTTGAACATTTTAACTCTTCGTTTAATTTGTATAACAGCTCAAGGACTGAGTCACGGCTTATCCTTTGTGTTTATGGGCACTTTCCATTCGGAGTCCACAGATACTTGTTGCTAATCCCATCTGCGATTATTGTTAATCTACACTTTTTCCACTTTGAATGCAATTCGATAGGAAATAAAATTATGAGTTCAACGAGGTGTGGCACTTTTTTGCATCATTCTTGGCAAAATACTGATTTTAAAGCCTAAAACTCAGTTTCAGGTTTCTAACAAAAAATTCTGATCAGGAAGGCTTTGAGGGAAAATGTCAGCCGGGTTAGGCCTTTCATTAGCTTTGAACATCAGTTATTCAACTACAGCTCGAAGACGAAGCACTAAAATTCTTTCTATCTTTAAGTATTTCGAAAAAGTTGAACTTAGAATGGAAAACGGAAACGAGAAGTCACTTCCTCGTATTGGTAATGTTAATAAACCGAAATAAAACCAAAGTTCGCGTGTGAAACAACCAAATTCAGTACAAAAACTTTTAAAGAATCTTTGAAATTAACTGCCGCATATCTCTAATAAATTGTCAATTCTTGTTCTTAATAGAGATTACCAAGGAAGAAGTACCACGGAGTGTGGGCATGTCGTATTTGGAGAAGAGCTCTTCATGTCAGACATTCGATGACGCCGTGTTGACATCAATGAGGGAAAAAAAGCCACTTGTTTGGCGTACTGCTCGATCCGAAGGAGATGAGGCGGAAACCGAGGCTGAGGTTAATGCGAAATTTAGGGAGGTGGTGAACAGGATTCAGAAAAGACAGCCAGAGGACGCTGAGCAGTCATCGTCCCTTCCAAAGCCAGAAGAGAATTAAAGAAATCGGCGCCTGCCTTCTTCTGGTATGGAACCAAATTTAAACGTAAAAGGTTCCATCACTGCAGTGATTCCCGAAGAAGCCTTCCTAAGAAGCAGAAACCAGAGACCAGGTAACACTCCCCACGAGCAGAAGTAGATGGCAGAGTGAACAAGGAGCTGAGGAGTGGCGTTGGCCACGACTGCCAGCGCTTGAAAAGACTTTCCGAATGTTGACCTTGTTAAAATTTATTGTTCTAATAAAAATATTGTGGTTAATATTCCTTGAAGGGTTTTAGTTCTAGATTTATCAGAGCCAGACCCTTAGCCGAAAGATCGTCTGTTCTATGCAGCCAACGATGGAATATAACCGTTTTTATCACTGACCGTCTGCTTTTAATAACGATTACAATGAGATAGAGCATTCCTTATTCCATTATTGGCTTCGTTATGAACAAAATACAGTCGTTTTAGGGGGAAAATGATGACAACCCTAAATTAGCATTTTTGATTATCAAATTTAGCTAAAAATGGCTAAAATCAATATTTTTAGCTGTGAATGCAGTTTTCATGGAAATTTACTAGCGATTAAAATGAGGTATGACATTCCACATTTGGACAACTATTTTATGGAACTTTGTTATGGAAAAAATACTTCTAATTAAAAGGGATAAATCGGATTTACCATTTTTGATTACCTTTCGTTCACCTTTTTTTGCAAAAAGTATACTTTTTCAACTTTGAATGCAGAAACATTAAAAAACAAGCTCAATGATGGCTCATATTCGGGCCATTTTTGGCTAAGTTAGGAAAGAAATGCTAATTCTTAGTTCTGAAACGCAGTTTTAGGTTTCTAACAAAAAATTCTGATAACAATGTCAGCTGGATTAGGCACTTTGTGGGCTATGAACATCAGTATATAACTGCAGTTCGAAGGCGAAGCATTAAAATTTCTCCTTCTCTTTAAATATTTTGAAAAAGTTGAACTTTCAATGGCTCGTAAGGGTAATGTTAATAGTCCGAAAGAAAACAAACTTTCGCGTGTGAAACATGTAAATTCTCTTCTAAATATTTCTGAAGAGTCTTCATCTACCGCATATCACTAATAAATTGTCATTTCATTTTTAACAGAGCTTCCCAAGAAGAAGAAAAAGGAATATCAGGAAATGCCGCCAACGAGTCTGAAGGTCAGTTCTCGCTGGAAGCAGTACAAAAGGCTGAATTTAAGAAGAAATTTTTATCAGATTCTTGATAAGATTCAATGCGAATCCCTTTTCGAGGCTAAATATGAATTGACGGGTTGGTTCTGCATTTTCTCTGTTATGAAACCAAATTTCTGTCTGCCTATATTTTTGATAACCAATTTCTGCATTTGCTTTTGTCAATATTAAATCCAAACTCATTCATTATCTCGTTAATAGTAAATAAGGTTAGTGATTAACATCTTCACAAAATATACCTAAACAACCTTCCTCTCTTTGAGAACTGTATAGATTCCGAAACAGAAACTATTTTAATTTCAAATTATCGCAATTTTGAAATCTTTTTTTGCTAAGATTTGCAATGATAATGAAATCAGATTGGAAAGATGTAAAGATGTAAAGTAAAAAATAGATCAGCTTCAACATTCTCAAAATTTGTAATGTACCAAAACCGTTAATGTAGTTAATAAAATAAAAGGGGCTGTTAGTAACAGCTGTGAAGTTAACATTCCACAAGCAGAGTCATTCGAAAAACATAGCTCAGAAATTTCGAAAGATTTTGGGACAAGCAAGAGCTTTGGTACAGAAAACTTCCCATTATCTTTTCGTAATACTTAGTTAAATATCCTTCTTAGGGTTGGGAAATTTCTACTTAGCTTTATGGGTGGCCTTTTACCTCAACCCAAACAGCTGACCGACCAAATACCACCCCATTGAATCACCGCCACCCACTCGACCACTCAACCACCACCACCGCCACATCTCTTGGGCATAAGTGCTTGCGTTTCATAATTGCCCTTGTTTGTGGCCGCGTATTAAGTTGTTCTTGTTCCTGCTTCTGTTGCTGATTGTCCGCATTGCGTATACGCCACGTGGCCACGTGAAAGAGATGCCAGATCCTCATAGAGACCAGCAGATAGAGAGAGAGAGAGAGAGAAGGCAACAGCGACACAATTGCATATTGATTACAGCACACACAGCAAACTCCCCTGTCGACAACTCCGCGGTGGATAATAAATTTCCAATTATGATCGGTCAGAGGGTGGAGCCCATATAATATATATATATATATATATATTTTTATAAATTAAGCAACGATTGCGAGACTGCGAAATTTATATGTTGAACAAATTGGATTAATTATGAAACCATGAAAATGAGGTTAATTCCTTCCGGTTAAATAATCGTTAACTATTCGACCCGGCCGGCCTTTAACCAAATCCAATACCAAGACCTTCGCCCCGATTTCCATATGGCTGGACACGTGCAATGTGCAACATGCAAAGTGCAACGTGCAACGTGCAATGGTAATGGCAATGGCAATGCCAATGTCCAACTGCATCGGTTGCAATTACATGTGGCGTTAATAAAAACAAATGAGTTTTGGGACACAGACAGGAACAGAGGCAGAGAGAGAGCGAGAGAGGGATCGGCTGCCATTAAATGTAATTATTTTAATACGATTTGCAATTCGGTCACTTTCCCGCTGAACTTGTCTCCACGAAACACTGCAAAGTGCTTAACTAGCATTTATGTTTCGGTTTTTCAATATCTGTAATTAATGCGCTGCCTCCCTGGACTCTGGTTTAAGCAGTTCTGAAAGGTATTTCCTTAAATATTATATATTAATAAGGGCTAGAAGTAAATCTTGAAGAAATCTTTGTTCTTGGAAGAAGAGAAAGCTCAAAAAAGAACATATAAACTCAAAAAATATTCTTAAAAACAATGTTTGCTGTTAGAAAACATTGCTAACAAGGCTTTTAAAGCTTCCTTTTCTATATGTTTTAACATTTTCTATCCCTTTTAGTCTATATACCATATATATATATAATAATTTCCCTCACTGTACCATCGATGCATCTGTAATTGGTATTGTTGCTATCCTGTCTTAACTGATTTCGTGCTACTGTCATTACCGCTATTGCAGTTTCCCATTGGCTTTCAGCGTTCACTGTTCAGCTTTCAGAGTTTCGCTTGCAACTTGCAGCTTAGTTGCAAATGCGTCTCTTAATGCATTTGTATTTACAGTTTGCCGCCCAGCGAGCAGCTGTCATTAACGTTGTTGCAATAAATGTTTTCACCCGTTTTACATGCCTTTTTTTAACTACTTATTGTGTAGCCAGCACTTACTTTTAAAGTGCTTATTGCCAGGCTTAATAAGTTTTTTTTATATGCCTTTTTTAATGGAAGTCAATTTGCCTGCATATCTTTCAGCTTATAAAAGGCCAACTTTATGGTTGAGTATTGAGATAAAAAAAAGAATTTTTTAAGTGAAGAAGAAATTATACTTTTTGTATTACAGAAATTAAATAATTTTGTTTAACTTTTTATATATTTTCGTATTAATTTATTTCTTATTATTTCCCCTTGATAGAAATTCCTCATCATTCAAAATTTCCCTGCCTATTCACAGCTCTCTATCGCCTCCTGTTGCCTGAACCTATATAGCTTTCTCAACTGCCCGCTAGATGGCTCTATTGAAAGCTATCTGTTTTTCGAAGTTATTTAAATTTTAAACTTTAAATTAATAGTTTTCAGAATGTTATGTACATAAACTCATTAATAAAATATAAAATATTTTGTATTTTTAATAATTCAAAACATTTTCCTTGATTTCCTCTCCTCCAATAAGTTCATTTTTAGCAGTAAAATCAAATTTAAATCCTGCTAAATTTTCATAATTTTTGCATTTCTAATTGACTGAAACCCCGTTGACATTTTCACCATTTTTGGCTTCATTTTCTGGTAGCTAATCAACTGCCGAAAATCCATTGAAGGTTGGGTGATTTTCAGTGGGGCATTGTTATTTATTTGAATGCCTTCAATAAATAATTTTGCACCCAGCGCCCAGCGACGAGGCAGCGGCATGCATAATTTTGCGATGATTGTGTTTTAATTAATGCAACACACACAAAAAACACTCTGGCCAAGAGGGGGGTAGAAAGAGGGAGCAGGGAAGGCATATTGGGGGGTTAAAGATCGGACCGTAATAGTTGCAAAAAATCAAGCGGCCAGCAAACTAACTAGCGGCTATTGTTTGGCCACGGCGTCAACATTTACATGCACTCGCATTTAAGCCTCTCACATACACAGACATACACACACACACATATGCATATATGGGAGAAAACACTGTGAGAAATATTGGATAAAAAACTACAATTTATGCCGTTTAAAATAGTTAACAATATATGCTGCTGGATTCTGGGTTAAATCCATAAAAAGTTCTTAGCTTATTATTATTTCAAAATTTAAATTACTTAAATAAAATCTTTAAAATTTATAAAAAATATATAAATAAATTTCATTTAAAATATAAATTTCTCCATATTTTTCTTTCAATGCTTTCGCCTTAGAACAATGGTCTCAAATTAAAAGCTGAAATCAATGGCCGCTCATCGACCCCTCACACACATCAGCCGTGTATGTGTGGCCCTCTTTTTGCGAATTTTCATTCAGTTTGTTCATCGCCTGCATTAAACATAATGCACGTAATTATTATCATTTTGCGGCAGCTTCCACATGCAGAGTCACACACACACACAGAGACACACATCCTCCAAAAATGAATCAGAACTTTCCCCGTTTTTCGGTTGAAACTGCCAATTTATACACCATTGTGAACTATTTATTAGCGCATAACTTTATAAACGAGCGGTAGAGGTTTTATTTTGTTTTTTGAATTAAAGAGGGACATGTCGCATGTACACATTCTATATATATATATATATATATATATCTACATGAGTATATATCCATTGATTTTACCATTATAATTTGGTCCGAAGTTAAGTCCGCAAATGGCAAAAGCCAGACGATTCGGGAGTTATGGGGATTTTTAGATCGGATCATTAGCCCTTGGGAATCCATACACCAGCACACCCAAACATACACACACACACACACAAACACACGGACACTCATAGAGGGAGTGTAATGATTATTTTCATAGATTTCTAATTTGTTGCCCAATTAGCGGCATTGAATTTTACATTGAATGCGAGGCCATTAATCAATGCGTCGATACTTGATACGAGATGGTTGACCATTGGTTTCGAACGAAGTATTGGTTGATTGATTGAGGTACGCGGCCTAATTGAATTAGTCCAGCTAGTGCTTAAATTTACCAAGTTAGGGAAAATCTATTATTTCTCTAATAACTAGCCATCGAAAGCCAAGTTGATTTCAACTTAATAACCTAATAAATCAATTTAATTTTTGTTAATCCCTCCCCTAAATATATATCACTTCCTTTTTCCCAATCAATGTCTTATCATTATTGCTTTCCTTTTAACTTTGCAATCACTGGAAATGTAAGCCATTCACCTGGCTAAAAAATAAAAACCGAAACGGAAACAAGCCTCATGGGTCTGGGATAATCCAGTGGCAGTGGATCTCTGCTGGGTGCGGAATAGCTGCCTCAATTGCCGTCACTCCCTCCTCTCTCTCTCTCTGGAGAAAATAAAGAAAGTCCCTAATCGCATTTGACTTTACCAATATACCCAGCTGGCATGCGAGCTGCTTGGCTTGCCCACCCCACATGGGCTGGGTCTTTAGTTTGCCACTGTTTGTACTGACAAATATGTGTAGCCGGCAGAATGCCAACAATATGCAGGTGCATATTGTAAAGGCAGATTGTGTGGTTTGTCGTTCCGAGTGCCTAACAAGTGCCAGCAAATGTACCGTGAAGAAACCATTTAGGATTAGTTTAATATGATACACAGAGCCAAAGATGCTATACAACGGCGGGCCAGAAGGGGGGTGGAGGAGAAGGTGCCTAGATAACGCTCCTGGAATAAGCAAACAGTACTTAAAACTGCCGGCCCAGGACTACTTAAGATGGGGGGTGGTCTCCCACTCTCTCTCAAAAAAAAAAAAAAATTCTAGGAAAAAAATAGAATAGGAAAAGCCAGAAGGAGGACTACTGAGGGAAACTCTGGCAAAATATTGGTGAGATAAAGCCAAGGCTCAGCCCGAGCTGCACAAAGGAAAAAAATGACAAATTTGCAAATGTTAAGACGGAAAGAAAACATCAACATAAGTTATAGGCTTAGTGCGTAATCGTTTTTCGCCAAAGGACCAAAGGACTTGCCACGGCGGCAGCCAAAAGCCCAAAAACTGAATGGCATGATGTCGGTGGCAGTCAGTTGGTGATGGTGATGGTGGTGGTGGTGGTGGTGGTTGTCGTTGGTTGGCATGTGGCAACATGGGTAATGATGCCACCAGCGAACAAGCTGTGTGCGATATTTGCGGTTTAGGTTTAGCCAACTGGGGAATCTACAGGATGAGAGGGCTAGCTGAGGGGATAGGATATATCCAAAAACTGAAACAGGGCGGGCATTAAATATTCAAGCGATATGCGGTTCGATGAGGTCACCCAAGTTGCAGGCCCCAACAAAGTCGTTGACTCACAGAATAAAGCTATATAAAATGTTTAGCTAAGTACTTATTAAATAAATATAAATAATAGCTAATTTCATAAGGAAAGACAAGGGTTTTCCCTTGCCTAAACCACTTTAAATCAAATCTAAATTTCCCTTCTTTTTGCTATCATTTCGCATTGTAAATCACAATTCTGTTGCATGTAATTGACAATCGAGAAATGGCTACTCTATCTAACTGCCTCAGAGACATGGATCATCGGCATGAATCTCCGGCCAATGGAGTACAGCCCGCCTCCATTAGACATTAGCCATGCGGATTTCCCTGACTGTTCAAATTAAAAATTCATAAAAGCAGAAATGCGAAATTATGATGATAAAATAAACACAGAAAAGAAGCCGCAGACGCAGGCGATGGCCAGTGACAGGCTAAAAGAACCGGAAAAAACTGCACTTAGAGAAAAAAAAGCAGATAAACTATATGAAGAAATGTTAAATAAGATCGAGTTTGGGATTTTCCAAGTATTTCCTTAAGGAAATTCTGAAATTCTTATTAGGAAATATATTTCCTTAAAGTCAAGGATCGTGATTTCCTAACATTTCTAACAGTGTACACCCAGAAGGATGAGGATAAAGTGTGGGCAGATTGGATCTGGGCTATGTGGGTCGAAGTGGGTGGCGGTGGTGGTGGGTGTCTGAACGTGACATTGGCCAGCTACTGTGAGAAAAAGCCAGCCGCAGATTCGGATGCCCTGCTCCGGCGACTTGAGCGCTGATGATGTGGATAAAATAAACATGGGACATTGGTTTGGACGAAGAGATGGAGAGGGCGTAGAAGAAGGCTGGCCGAGAACAAGGATGAGGAGAAGGAAAGCGTGTTTAAACATTAAAAGGACCATTAGATACGCCTTAAAGTATGCTTCAAGTAGATTATCTTCCATCAGTTTTGTTTGCTTACTTGGAATTGTTTCGCTTCATTTTTCTCGTTTGCAAACACACACACACAGAGACACAGACACAGAGCCAGAGACACAGACACATACACAGCCAAAGCCTGGTTTACTTAGCCTGCAAATGTATGTGTGTGCGTTTTCCTTTTGGCCAAGGAAAAGCATCTTTCGAAGAAGAGAAAGCCAAAGCCAAAGACGAAGACGAAGACGAGGAAGACGACGTTATTATAAATTGTGCGCGTGTCCTTGTAAAATAACATCTAGTGAACCCAAAAGGCCCCAGTACCAGTACCAGTACCACTACCACCCTATAAAGAACCCTGCCTGCACCGCATTCTGGTCAAGTCGTGGCCCCGGCAATGCTTCTTAAATTACCAAGAAGTGCGCTCTGAGTGGCGCTTATTGCTACTGCTGCTCCTCCTCCTGCTCCTTTTCTTTTGGCCATGGCTCATGGCTCATGACTGATGGCGAAACCCCTGTAGATGGGTGTCGCCAAGTCGTGGGTGGTGCAGAGAATGCCTTGACTCAATTTAAAGCCGTCCAATTGGTCGTAAATTTCTATTTCCGTCCTTGGCAGCTCCTTGGACTCCATGAGATCAAAAGAGAGGTTTATCTTGGATGGGCATCATGGTCTTTATACCTGGTGTTAGGTTAAAGCCTGAATGCAATGTGAAATTTAATTAGTAATAAAATGCACTAACATTTTCCTACTACTTCCTTAAAGCATAGTAAAGTCTGCCGTTCAGCAAGGACATTCGAAAAGTTATCTCTTCCTGTGAAATATTGCCAATCGATATGGGAATCCTAGGACTATCAGCAATTAATTAACATCTGCGAGCGACCTCGGACTGCGTTGCATATCAGCTAAGTACTATCACCAATTACATTAGCACCATTTCTCAGATGTCCTGGCACTTGGAGTCCTACTTTGCCCTCTGCTATTCCTGGCATTCAGTCATGCGCCTCGCTATCCACTGGCTGTTCTCCGGCTGTCTTCTGCTGGGGATTTCGATTTGGGCCTGGGGACAGGAACAGAAGCATGAAAAGGTTCCTGGTAAGGATTTGCTCATCCCATCTGCTCTGGGCAATCTGGAAAATGAGTTGAACACCAGACGACTGTCTAGTGCCATAGGTTATTTGACCAGGAGCTACATTGCTACAAGAATTAACACCCTAGTCATCCGCCAGAGCTGTCTGCAGTGTTCCCATGACCTGGCCCATCGTCAGCGACAGCTCGTTGACCAGATCCTGGAGAGCCTTCCCCCTGATCTTGCTGTCCTGCTGCACAGTGGCACTCCGGAGGAGACCTCCTGGGACTACACCCTCTTTGTGGTCAGAGACTACACCGCTTTCCAGTGAGGCGCAGTTCTTTGTTCTTGATCTTTCCTTAACCTTTGTTTAAGCATTTTTCCTTTTACTTTTGTAGAGGTCATGTGTTTAACTTCTCCGACGAGTGGTTGGAGCGCGAGTTCTTTTCCGTGGTGGTGGTGACGGAGTTCCAGAGTCCGGAAACTATTAACCAGACCGTTGGTCGAATCATTGCCCTTAATCTGCGAATGTTGTTCGTCAATGTGGTGGTGGTGGCCCAAATGGAGGACGGCACCGTGTCCACCTACAGCTATAAGCTCTTCAAGACGAACTGCAGACCTGGCATAACGGTTCGTCGGATTAATCATTTTGATAGGATCACCGGTAAACCAATGCAGGATATGCCCGATTTGTATCCAGTGCGTCATGGCCACCTTGGGGATTGTCCACTGAATGTGGGCGCCAATCACTTGCCACCGCATTTCATGTACAAGCGGCACAACGATCTACCACCAATCAACGAGACAATTCCAGCGCAGGATCTTTCCGGGATTGACTGGGATCTACTTCAACTGCTGGCCAAGGCGTTACGCTTTCAGATCCGTCTCTATATGCCCCACGAGCCTAGCCAGATCTTTGGCGAGGGCAACGTTTCCGGCTGCTTTGCTCAGGTGAGTTCGGATCGGATGGGATGGGATATGATGGGTTGGTTCAGCTAACCTTCCAATCGAATTTTAGCTGGCGGATGGAAGTGTGGCTATAGCCGTCGGTGGTTTGAGTGGCTCGGACAAACGCCGCTGGCACTTCTCCAGGTCGACGGTGTACGATCAGAATCATTTCGTGATGGTGGTGCGTAGGGAAAGGTATCTTGGTCGCTTTGGACCGTTGATCCTGCCGTTTCGTGGCAAAGTTTGGGGTGTGATTATCACGATCCTGGTGCTGGCGGTGGTAAGTACCTGTGGTCTCCGATCACGTTTGCCTATTAGCCATCCTTTGGAGAATCTGTACTTGGTGAGCATTGGCAATCCGATACCCGATAACCGGCTACCTGGTACAGGATTCCTGCGTTACCTTCTAGCAAGTTGGCTACTGCTCACTTTGGTGCTGCGGTGTGCCTATCAGGCGCGACTCTTCGATGTCCTTCGCGTCTCTCGTCATCGTCCGCTGCCCGAGGATATCGGTGGCTTGATCAGGGAGAACTACACCCTAGTATCGAATGGCTATCATGATTTCTATCCACTGCATCTTACCCATCGCCTGGGCGAATCATTTTCAGCCCGATTTGAACGGGTCCAGAGGTCGGCATCGAGCGAAAGACTCACCACAATCTCGCTGATGAGCAATCTGGCCTATTGGAATAATAAGCATCGGAACACCAGCCAACTAACTTTCATTCGCAAACCAATCTATATATACCAGTTGGTCATCTACTTTCCCAGGCGATCCTTTCTCCGTCCGGCCGTGGATCGTAAGATAAAACAGCTTCTGAGTGCCGGGGTGATGGCTCATATCGAACGAAAGTATCTGCAGTTTGCGGACAAAGATAATGTTGCCGCCAATGATCCAGATCTTCTGCTGGGGATTACCAACAAAATCATGGCCGGGGCCTATCGCATTCATGGACTTGTGATTGTCCTGGCCTTTGGGATATTCCTTCTGGAACTTCTCTCAAGGCGATGGGATGGCAGACTTCGCCGCTGGCTGGATTGGGTGCATCAGTCTTAGGAAATGGCTAACTAATCTTTCTTAATATTACTAAAAACTTAATATTTCCAAGCATTTGATTTGAAAACTTAAGAAAGGTTTAAGTTTAAGAATATCATAATCTGTTTTTTTTTTTTGAATATGATTACTAAATCCTATACTTAGAGACTTACTAAAATAAAATATTTACTTTAAAACCGTAAAAGAAATGATTTTTAATACTGAAGTTTCAAAGTCTCCTTGATCTATCGCCTTAGTTTAAAATTATTTATAAATTAGTAGTAAAAGTAAAAAGAAGACCAAAAGACTAGACCAGCCAATTTGTTAATAGCAGAACCGATTGGCTAATTAAATGCCTCGACTTAAGTGCCGTTCCCTGTTAATCTTGGCCTTTCCCAGACTTTCTCACCAATCCATCAGTATCCAACCAACGCGTCTTTGGTCAAACGGAGGAGTAGCCGGGAACCAACTCTAAGTGGTTGGCGCCTAAGCCAGACATGCTGCACTTAGATGGATTTTTGTGCGGTGGCCGGCTGGCCTTAAAAATTGATTTAAGACTTGTAATGCAGTGCGAGTAGGTGGGGGCGGCCGGCTACTTCTGAGCGTTCTTCTTCGTTTTCTTTTTTTCCCCCCTGCTCTTCTGGTTGCGCCACTCTACTGGCCACTCGGAAGCACTCTTGGCCATGTGTGTGTGTGTGTGTGCGTCTCTGTGAGCAGCGGCAACTGGCCAACTGGCCGAGCGGCACGGAGCGGCACTTGAGTTAAGCTGTGCAAACGTTTGCATAATCACGTTCCAATTTAAATTGCTCTATTTGCCGGGATGCCACTGCCCACTGCCAACTGCCCACTGGGAAACGCTTCATCCACATCTCTGCATACCTAAAAGTGGGCGTGGCATGGCATGACCATCGTTGTCGCCTCTCGAATTGGAAAAACCGAACCATTTTTATTAGCCCGTGGGTAGGGGTGGGGGGTATGTCTTCCAAACAACAACCAAAGCCCATCTTTCCATCTATCTATGGATGGATGGATATATGTAGGTATGAATCTGGCCCATCTGTTTGCGGAGACTAAAGGAAAAATGGGATTCCGGTTTTTACTTGGTCGCTATCCATCTGTGCTTGTGTCCACTCTTCAAATCACTGTTTCCTGTCGGTGCGTAAACAAAAGGCAACAGTTGATAGTTCCAATGGGAAGAAGTCGATCTAGCATTGCATTCAGGCATCTATCTCGTCGAGGCAGAGATTGTGGAAAATGTAATAGGAAAATGTTAGATATTATTTACTTTAATTTAAAGTTATCAAGCGAGGGAGGTGGTTCTCATTTCAGGTTAGGTAACTTAAGAAATTTATCGTCATTATGAATTTTGGATGTCACACACACTTTGGATGACTTGCAGGTCTGCAGGATTTCCCCAGGAATATCTCCATCCATTCTCATGGCCAATTGTTGCATTTTTCGTCCTTGACAATCGGCTCACCACTATGGCCCTCATCTTCCTCCTGTTTGGGTGGAAAGACACGTTGACCAATGCCCGGATTTTTCTGGGTATTATGGAACTTCATCATCAGCATGTCCCAGTCGTAGATGAGGCCAGGACGTAGATTGATGCCATCACGCAGCATTCTGAACATCCGGCAGATGTCGTCGTATTTCGGTTTCTCATAGAAACCCATGCCGCGGCAATAGTTCAGATACATGGTAAACTCACAGGGAAATCCCTCGCAAAGGACCTCCACACTAACCGAGATCTTCTTCTCATGGATGCGTTCGTACTTCTGTTGCTTGGTGGATGCCTTTAGATCCTGCCATGGCAGTGAGCCCCTATTGAAGTACATGAGGACATAGCCAACGGCCACCATATCATCGCGTCTCGACGGCTCAACGCCCGCATGAACGCATATGGAGGCGTAACGGGCGGTACCCGTTAGGGGACGCTCCTCACGATACGGTATATGCACACCGGTCGTTATGTCCATGAACTTTTTGGCCAGACCAAAGTCCACGAGATATACTTGCTTGGACATGTTGCCCAGACCCATCAGGAAGTTATCCGGCTTGATGTCGCGATGGAGGAAGCCACGATTATGAACATACTCAACTCGTCGTACCATTTGCTCGGCCAGCAAGAGGACGGTCTTGATGGTGAAGGCACGTTCACAGAACTGGAAAAGACGCTCCAGTGATGGTCCTAGTAGATCCATTACCATCGCCTGGTAATGCTGCTCTTTGTGGTAATAACGAATTCTCGGTAAACCAGGTGCTGCTCTCAACGCGCGATATAATCGCCTTTCGTAGTTCAATTGCGGATGACGGACCTTGGTGCTCTCCACCTTGATGGCCACCCTTTCGCCACTGTGGATATAGATGCCCAGATATATATCACCGAAGGATCCGCAGCCAATCTTCCGTACCACCTTATAGTTGCCGATACGCACTTCACGGTTAAGGGACATTCGAAGTCGCTCCATTTTTAAAATTTTTTGTTTTGGTGTTTCTTTTTGTTCTTCGATCCAAATGGGAATTTCTAAAAATATATTTCTGATATTTAAAGGGAAGTCTATGATCGTTTTGAGTAGTTCAAATAGTGACATTGAGTTTAAAGAATACAACTTTTTTCATTCCTTAAATCAGCCATAAAGTGTGTCTATATTAAGTATCCGCCACATTGATCGCCCTTTAAGTGCGATTTAAGGGAATCCTTAACCGAACCCAATCCAATCCTTTAATGTGTCATCCTGCCAGGGCTGTTTACGTACGTGTGTGTGTGTGTGTACTTGTGCGTATCGATTATCCTGGCAGACGGCGGCATCCGTAGACGGAGACACAAATGCACAAATGAGGATGTGAATGGGGCAGAAGGAGGTGGAGTTAGCTCGAGGTGGAGGCCAAAATGGAGGCGACGAGGACGGATCAACTAGCCAGTAATAATGTCTTTCGCTGACATTTGACATTTTGGCTATATATCACTCACATTGTGACAACTGGCAACTTGGCATTCAAATATAGCAGCCGAAGCAGCAGAAGCACCAGAAGCACCAGGAGCACCAGAAGCTCTCCGGGCCCACTCAGATGTTTAAGAACAATAAATTTGTGGGCCTTCGGCCTGGCCTGTGCGTGTTGCCAAACTCCACTCACCCGATGGCCTATCTATCTATCTATTCCCACCCATCCTCCTTCCTTCTCCACCGAAACATGTCCGCCATATCCCCTCCGATTTGCCTATCCCCTGGAAAACCAGCCCCTCTTGCCTCCTGGCGAATGTTCGGCAGCAGCCTTACTGGCTGCCTGCAAGCCCAATGACAAGACGGAAGCGACATATTTGAACTGGAATGAAGCGGGATTGAGGCTGCAGCCGGGTCCATTATCATCATCAGTACAGAGAGAGAAAAATATGTAAATCAGAAGAGGATAACTTTGGGGATTTCTCCATATTCGAATGATTTCTATCAAAAAGTGAAATCTGTAGATGAAAATCGCGCGTAATTCTTCTTGCCTCTTGTTTTTCTCAGTGCCAAAAGCAGAAATAAAAGGAGGGGCTGGAAGCCTGGCATTTACATCATAACATGGCCGCCTGATGGATAGACAGATAGCCGGGCATTAGCATTAGTGGCCACCACAATGGGTATTCCAATGATGATAATGATGATGATGAGGATGGCTAAGATGATGAAGACGATTGCGATGATTAGGATGATGGGCAGATGATGATGACGACCAGGATGAGCCACAAGCTCTTGTTTCTGGCTTGGATTTGGATTCCGATTCAGAAGGAGTAAGCGTTTCCGAATCCGATCCAGACTCCAAGGCCTAGCCACTCCGTCTGGTTGTGGGCGTGGCCGTCGCTGATGTTGAAACATGCGGGTAAATTATCTTTTCATTTCCATCAACGTCGTCGTTGTCGTGGCTTTTCTCTGCGACTCCTGCTGCTGCTGCTCCTGCTGCTGTTGTTGTTGTTGTTGACGTGGAAATTGCCACTTCCATCCGCCTGGCCAACTCTTATTTCTCCCGCCCACCTGCAACTTGTAGTTTACAACATTCGCTCGGGAATTTTATGGATTCCAAAATCGCCATTCAATTGTTTGGCTAGTTGTGTGTGTTTTCCCGTTGCCACGCCCACTCTGCAGTTGCTGTACCTCATTAAGATGAAATTGGAGGCCATTAAAGGTAGCAGGTAGGTAGGTAGCTTTGATTGCTTTCTGTCAACTTAATTGATATGTGAAAGTAAATTCCTCTTTTTGTCAATATATATATAGATAACGATTCCAACCGATTACTATAGATAGCCTGGTATATTGCAAAATGAAAGCCTTTAAGCCCCCCCCCATCGTGGGGCCAGGGTCCAGTTCAATTTCCCAGGTAAACGATAACTCTTTCCCGGCTGCAAATGAGTATTAATGAATATGAAACTTATCCTGTCGCTGAACAGAAACTAACTTGCCAACGTGTCGAGGACAAACGTGACAAAAGTTTATGTAGAACCGGCAATTGCACACCCAATGGATGAGACAGAGACCAGAGACTAGAGACTGCAGTGCGCCAGACAGAGATAGACACAAAGAGAGGAGTCCGCTTTGATGGTGCTGAAGTTGGACGAACAACAAACAGCAAAATATAAATGACTTTAATAGCTCATCAATGATTCAGGCGGAAATCCGGGCTGTCCAAGTGCAGTCGGTTTATTGGATACCGGAAAGGCATTATGTAGCCCTGTCTCTCTCACTCACTCTGTTCTATATCTGTTCTATTGCCCTCTCGTTCTTGTTCTTTTAACCCGTCCTGCTCTATTTGTGAATTTGTTTGATTGTGCTCTGTGTGCTGGACTGGAGAGTAGAGTAGAGTCTGTCTGACTTTCTGGTCTGGGGTTTTTATGGTTCGAAATCGTGGGGTTCGGTACGAGGCGGATGGTTTGGGGTTCTTCTGTCTGCTTAGCTGCAATGATTTTCACGCTGCCTCTGAAAAGTATGCAACAAAATTTGCATATTGTTTTGCTCCTGCATTTTGCACCGCCTTCCTCCCCAGCAATTTGTCCCGCTTCCTCTGTTTTTAACATCCCCTTCTTCCAGCAGCTCATCATTGCCACTGGTTGGTTGCACTTAGAGAAAATCCTTGGTCTTGGTCTTCTTAATTGGAAAAGGAAATGAGCTAGCTGAAGGATTATATAAGTTGAAATTCTGTAAAGAAGTAGCAATTTATTTCAAAAGACAACGTTTTTCGTCTAGTGAATAGTTTTAGTGTCACCTTTAAGAAGTGGCTTTTCAAACCGCAGCTAACTTCCGTGACCTTTTTCCAATGATTTTTCTCATAAATAAAATCCATTTTAAGCACCATTATTTTCTCACAGTGCCCCTTTTGGCATATGCAGGCGATTTGCATTTGTGTCCAAGTCAACTCTCACTTCAATTGCCTCCCCATTTTACACCTGTTCCCGAGGAGTGGTGTGTGCATTTGTGCATCATTATTATCATCATTATAGATGGCACATGGCCAGTTTCCCCATTGGCCATGTGACAGTAGCCGCTTGGCTTTTGTGTCTCATTTATTATGCAAATCCGAGCCAAGAGGGGGGCGTGTGGGCGGCTGGGGTTAAGTCCGGATGAAGGGTGGCTGCTGCAGGATGATGACGATGATCAGATGATGATGATGGGAATGAGAATTGAGGACAGTATCCTTTATTCCTTGGCTGATTGTCCGTTGCTGGTACGGTCAAAGAGTTCAAGTTTTGCAACAATTATGCCGCAATAATCATCGATGTGTTGCAGTCTTGCTGCCTGCCACACACACACACACACACAGAGTGGCATTTGCCCAGAAACAATAATGCTTATCGCATATTAATGAAACGACAGCAAATATTACAAATCAACGCAATTGGAAAATTTATTCAGCTCCCTCGCCTTTCACCGCAAATGTTATTTAAAGTTTCGACAAACAAAAACCGAAATGTGGATTGAGGAACGAATCTACGAATCGAAGTTTTGAATACACTTTTTAGGCAAAAGAAATGATATAAACTTGGATTTGAGTTTAACAAAAGTATAGATCTCTATTAATGATTTTGATTAACTCTCAAAACACTGATAGCTTACTATATATATAGACTGTGTTTCAGGCAAATCCTTCAGTTAATATACAAAATTCAAGATTGCCAAAAATAAGGCAGAGTATCTTTGCCTATCAAGCTTATGGATAATGAAAAGTGAGAAGAAGAGTGCGCGGCGGCTGGCGGGACAATAATAAAAAGTAAATATAATTTCAATTTTTATTCTCGCTTCAATGTTAATCAATTACGTGCTTTAATTGAAATCGCCAAAGTCAATAGCGAGAATCAAGTAAAACCAAAAACAAAAAACATTTTGACACATATACAAATATATATAAATATATATATATATAGGAAAAATACACATACACGCCATGGCATGCATCTGTTTATTTATCTATGAATTTTTAAGCGGCCAAAAGATCCCGTCCGGCCACTCATTTTGCACTCCGGACGACTGTCCATCCGCCGATTGCTGTGTTTGCCTACGAATTGCTTTTCAATTAACTCTAAGCCGTAAAAACATAATTGAAATGCGGCTGCCCCCCTTCTACGACCATTTCTTTCTCCATTTGGCGGCCAGGCGGCCAACGCGCAATAAACCAGTAAGATGTCAAAGGTCGTGACTCTCGACCTAAAGGTACTCAGTATTTTAATTACTTTGAATTTTTGTTAACCGATTAAACTTTAAGCAATAAATGAGCTTAATATTTAGTTTCGGAATGCCTGCTAGTTTTGTTATTAAACAGAAAATGCCTAAAAGTCTCTGTAAAGCTCCCTATTGGGGGTGAAAAATAAGGTCAGAAGGGTATATTGGCTATCACAAACTGGCAACTGGAGTGTTTCTCCGCTGACAAGCGTCACTTCTATAGTTCTGGATTGTGTTCTGGCATCTAACATCCTAGCCTTCCCTAATGTCCCATGTCCATATCCTACCTACATTATATCCCATTCCCACTGAACTAAAACCGAACCAAACTCAACTCAACTCAACTGAACTGAACTCGACTCGCCTTGCCTCGCCTCGAATGGGCCTCCTGTCGTCTGCGGCTGTAAATGAAGTTGTGTTTTAATTAAAATTCCAGACTTTATTTCTGTAATTATATTAACTCGCTGTTCGAATTCGTTTGCTGCTCGCTGGGCCTTCGCTTTCTCTCTCGATCGATCTATGGGGTATATACATATACGGGGGTTGGGGCAATGGAAAGTAAGGAAAAGATAAAACCATTAACGGTAAAGTGGAGAAATGTGGAAAACGTGGCAAAGGCATGCGGTGTTCTCGGCCCAGAGTGCTGGTCCTTCGATGTGTTTGCTCCTGAGTCTGGAGTCCGGAGACCGGAGACCAGAGAACGGAGACCAGAGTTCGTAGTCCAGAGTCCTCCGTCCCCGAGTCCTGCATATATCCTGCTGTGTCGTCATTGGCATCGGCATCTTCTGCCGCGGGGTCATCTCACCCCTTGGGTCCTAGCACAGTCCTTGCGTTCTTACTGCCCCATGCTGCCCCTTGCTGTCCC